GTGAAAGGCATGAGGACATGTACTTGGTCTTTGCAGAACACAACTAAAGCAATAGCACAGTGCCTCAAAGCATATTCTGAGGTTTTTGGTGTTGAAGCAAACCCCTCAACTGATACTGAAATGAACACAACAACTCTGTGATTTCCCATTGCCTTAGAAAGCCGCAACAAAATTCACTTTGTTTCATCTCATCCTGAATATACGCAAGAAAATGAAATGCTTCTTTCAAAACTTGATTCACTTCCAATTACTAGATACATGACAAAAATAAACCAAAGATATTTTCCTCAGCTTTGGCATCAAAGGACAAAAAGAGGAGCAATAAAGGCACTCACCATGACACATGAGCAAGCAGAGATGGTTCCCACACTCCAACCAAGATTAAACAAAATATATTATAACTGATCGCCACTGGATTTTTATTCCTTTTAATACCAGGCTTTTCAGTAGCCTCTGGCTTTTTAAATTACAATAGCCTTACATTTCCTTATATAAGGAAATATATTTCCTTATATTTCCTTTTACACCTATGGTGTAAAACATGGGTGAAATTCAATATTTGAGTATCAATATAAGCAAAGAATACACCCAGACAGATTATTCTGAAGTAAAACTGAGTCAAAACAAGAGTTGTTTGCTTACAAAATTAGTTTTTAGTAACTTAATACATGGTAAAAAACCTAAGCCAGATTGTTAGCTCAGTTACTCTAAAGAAACATTTAACCAGTACAACATTTGTTCTCTCATGTAAAGGCTTAGCTACATATGGGTAAATCAAGGGCTGGCAATCCCCGGTGCCTATTCAGTGGAAACTCACAGCCTGGACTAGGGTCTCTGTAGCATAAGCCAACCACTTTCAAAGAAAACTGAAGTCAACTATGATACAGTCAAAGAAATCTGGGAGCTTTCACTCCTGTCTTAGGATCTGGTGACACAATCTCCCCTTTCTGTGTACTCTCTTCTTTTCTTATCCCAGAGTACAAGCAAGGCTGGAAATGTCTCAGAAAAACAAACAAAACTGTGCTGTCTCCCTAGGCTTGCCATGTTGCAAGGAGGAATGTGCAAGCCACCTCCATCACATTTCTCAAACACTGATCATTTCTGACGCAGAGCTTTAGAAGGAAAAGATGTTTTAATGCCCTGCAGGCAACCAGTGCTTTCAAAGTCCATCTAAGCAACAAGACTGCAATTCCCACTCCCAGGAAACATGCTGTCCTTGGCTTGTCACTTCTTTACTGTCACTTGTACAGTATGCTGTGTTCAGGACTGAGATTGCGTACTGGCTGGAAAGATACTTCAGATAACACCCAAATATACTTCAAGATCCTCTGGACCTTCTTCCTTCCTGCCTCCCACTGCCACACTTCAGTTCTGTGTGAACTGAACTTACCCCCAACACCTTCTGTTTTGTTTCTTTGTCTCTTATGTATGGAAAATACATAAGGCTACCTAAATGAGAAAGTTGTACCCCAACAGTTTCATTATATTCCTTTCCCTTTCTTCTCCACAAACCTTCTGCTCAGAAGATACTGGTAGGGGAATGCAGCATGCAATGATGTGCTTACACACTTCTCCTGGGACAGTGGGGCAAACACCACAAAAGTTTTAATAGTTAAGCACCAAGAGTTTGCATATTTCCATTTCCAAAGACATCCTCTGTAACCAAGCCAAATCTAATGTTGGCAAAGTGTAAAGTGGCTGCAATTGTTTGCTCGACACTCAACACAGCCCAAAAATAATGGGTCAGGAAGACTGACTATACACTGGGAGAAACATGTCACATAAGGGATCCCATAACTTAGTTCCCATTTTTAGACAAAAAGCTAATGGCCATAAAAAAATCCCAGCCCAAACCAAACTCCACTTTCTGCACTCAAACTCCACTGAAAGCTCAGTTCAAAAGTCATGTGGTCAGAGTCATGCAGACATAAGAGGAAACATAGAGAAGTTCAACTGTAATGCTGAGCATGAAACCCATACAAGGACCCAGCTGGCTCTTAGTAACTGCCCTGTACAGGAATCATTCACAAGACAAAATCTTCCAGCTAACCAGCAGCTCTGCAGCCAGGAGCATCAAGCAATCTCAGGGACACAAGGTTGTTCCTTAGGAAACTTTTAACATACTGCAACCATGAGAACCTCAGGCACAGCAGATTCAAACAGAGGCTGGGCATGAAAATGAGACTCACATTACCTTGTTCCATCTGCTCTGCCATGGATGCCCTCTTGGATACAGCTGAGCAGAACAACCCAGACTGCCTTTCAGGAGGCGGGAAAGCACCTGGCCCTTGTTGTCACGGGTGGTCTGGGACTCCCAGGATATTTACATCAACAGCTGTACAGCTTCCAGTGTGGCATCACTCAGCCTATTTACCCCTCATTTCTCTGCACTCCTAGGAAAGGATCCAATTTAATGGGACTGGGGTAGAGAGAAAAGGATGTGTCACTGGGGACATAAAGCTAGCAGACTGTTCCCAATTTCAGCACTCTGCAGCAGGGAAATTGGTGAGGGAGATGGAAAGGAAGCATGCTTCAGTGAACAAATCTGAAGATTTCAAAAGTTACCAGATGGGAACACATGGAGGAGTTTATTTATATATAAACCAACTTTGCAAGGTTGAAAGCATTTTTTGAGAAATAAGTACTGGCCTAAAAATACCTCATCTTTGGCTGCTAACAATAAACTCTAAGAAAAAGGAGCAGAGAACCTCTTCTTACATCTTCACAAGAATGTTGAACCAAACCTATAAAGCTGAGTGTCATAATTTCAGTGGAGTCTCTCCCATTTTTGGCCTTCACTTATTCCAGAAAACTGCACTGCTAGATAATTCTAGACATGTCAGGACATGTTTGAATCCGGAAAACTGTAAACATAGCAGAGAGCTGGCATAAATCCTGACCAGCAGCTACCACTTTCAGCACTGCTGAATCTGTAGCATAAATGGTTTCTAAATTTCTTTATTCAGAATTTTATGTTTTGTTTACACCATCACTAAATAAATCCTACAGATTGCCATGAGCACTAAGTACTTCCTAAAAAATCTGTCCAAGATCACAGCAGCTGTTCATTAGATTGCTTTTTTTAAGCAGGCCTTCTTACCAGCCCTTACATTTAGGATCACTTTCTACTTCCTACAGCAAGGTCATGCTTTCAGTTTGTAAAGCTCCGGATTCCTACTGTTTGTGCAGGATATTAACTTCATCCTGCAGTTAAGAAAATTCCAGCTGAAGTTTCACAAGGTTGGGAGGAAAAGGTTTTTTGCCTACATGACATGTACACATGCTGGCATGTGCCAGCACAAAGACCTCAGCACAGTCTGGCCACACTACTACCACAAAGCTTTGCCTGTTTATAACAGAGATAAGTATGGGGTGAGGGTCACAATGAAAGCTGGGAATTGGTTCAGGTGAAGCTTCCCATTCCATCTTCCATGTAGGATGAGGATGATCAATTGGACTTAATTCAAAAGTAAGAGTACCATTCTACAGACTGTTTTATCCCAGAGGTGGAAAAGATTCTACTACTAATAGATCCAAACAGCACAAAGGAGGCTTCCTAATTTCAATAAAAGAGATTTCACCAGGGAAAAGCAAATGGTAGGCACTGTAAGTTGGAATGAGTGGTGAAAGAGAGGTGAAGAGATGGAGAATAAGGGGAAAATGAAAGCCTAAACCAAACCACTAGCAGGGAAATAGAAAAAGATCAAAGAATGCAAAATCTAGACTAAAGAGCAGTGCTAAAATGAAGACAACACACAACAGGTGATGAATTGAAGAGCATCAACTCCAAACCCTTTATTGTGTCATTATTCCCAGTAAGTACAACAAAAGTGAAATAGACAGCACAGAAAACACATAGTACAGAAAAATAAATATACATTTAAGGGTATCTTTAGGCATGAATGAAATAACTTACAAAGCCATACAGAATCACATGTTAAATGGAAAACTTTCTCCAGATAACATAGAATAAAAGGCAGCTACTTTCAGATAAGAAGTACTGGAGTCCCCTATATTGAGATGTTAAGGTACTCAGAAGTACGACAGCACAAAAGTCTCTGCTTGTAGAACATGCAATTGACAACCTGACATGACTCAGATAATTAAAAATCGACTCTTGTGGAGCTATTTTTTGTGCTGGTGCCAGATACTCCCTGCACTAAATGAGAGAGCCTGTGGGGAAAGGGAAAAAAAGTCCAATAGTGTGGTGGATAAGGGACATAACATGAATATGAAAACTGCACTGGGAACTTTATTACAGAACTGTTTTGATTACAGAACTGGTAATAGCATGATGCCTAACAGCAAAATCCCTTACATAGGTATTTCTTTGAATGAATGAAGTATAAAAATCTCCAGGATTTTTTTTTTTTTACAGTAAAGAGTAACATATTATCTTTTTAAAATAAAATTTTAAACAGATACCAATTTATTTGGTAGTTCCATTAGCCACTATTCATTACCATTTGGAAAAACACTACCACAAAAGAACACAGAAATGCTGTCAAAATATCTTGATGTGTTTGTGCATTTATTTTCTATGCAACCCAGAGTTCAGCTACACTTGGCTTAGAATAGCATACTGAAACAATATATTTTTCTGGTGGGGGGGAAAAAATATCAATATTGATATACCCTGGATTCTGTCACATAAATGCTAAAGATTAATTTACCATTTTCTGCAGACATGTATCTTATTGCCACCTTACTCTGGTGAGCAGCTTGATGTCTTCTCCCTCCCATTCCACCATTTGACAAAGTCAAACTGGTATTTATCAATTTAGTTATTAACATGCTTGGCATTCCCTACTAGAATTTGTTTACTCAAGCACTTTCTGGTAGAAAAGGAGGAAAAAAACCCAAACAACAAAACCTTCCCAACATTCACTTACCCCTTCCCCATGACCAAGACATTTAAAGGGAAAGCACCCATGTCTGCAAATTTACTTTGACACTAAAAGTTTTTAAACCCTGCATTATGCAAAAAGGCAACCAAACAGCATGTGCTGTGTACAAAGCTGGCAGTCACCCCTATAATTTAGCTCACTTAACAGAGTTTGTAAAGCACAGGAAACAGAGCCCTACAAACTGAGGTTCACTGTTTCTACACTTTGCTTGCCATCACTTAGTTTGTGAATTGCTGCAATCACGCTGGCGTGTATGTCCAGTTTTTCCTTCTGCAGATTTATGAGCGCTTCTTTTTCTGCCAAGCATCCTTCTAACTGGGATTTTTGAACTTCCAGAGAAGATGCCTGCAGAAACAAGCAAAATATTATAGCTTCCTCTATTACCAATGGAAAAACACATAATACAGTGAAAGCTGAGTGGCCTGGTGGTGAACTTAAGCAAGTATTTTAAAAGCAGCTTTAAAATGACAAGCTTGTTTCAGAAATCTCCCTCAGCTGGTGCTCATGAGTGATTACAGCTACTGCCACACTGCAAAATGTTGGATACCATGGGAAAGCACCAACTCCTTCATAATCATGGTGCTACCATCTACATTTCATTTCAAGCACCACAACAGTAAATATTTACTGAGAACAAAAGAAATATTTGCTATATACTGGATAACATTGCCTGAAGAGATTAAGCTTTTGCTTCCAGGAAATGAAAACACAGTAAATTTGGTAGTCAGACTGCACACTTTGCATTTGCTGATCAGTTTGCATGTAAAATGAATCTCTGCTTTGTGATTTTAGAGGGAGTCTTGCCTGCAGTCAAGTAAGGCTGCACTGAAGCTTGGGGCATTAGTTTGTGGGGTTTTTTTCTTTTGTTTTTTTTTCTGTTAACTTTATTTTGTTGACTTGGTACAGCCAAAGTAATCTCTCTTTTGAAAAAAGGACACCCGTTCTTGGAGATAAAAATGTTTTTTTACTAGAATTTCAATGATCAAAAGAACCCCAGGTGCATTTTGGTGCATACATATGTACCTTAATTCAATGTGAGAAAGGGAGGGAGAGCAAGCTGACCTACATTTTCAGTAGTCAAAACTACTGAAGAGGAATTCATTACATTTTGTTATTTAACCTTATGCCACAGGTTTGGTGGGTTTTTTCTCTTCCCAACAACATTATGTACTCACATGCCATGCCACACAGAGTCTCATTAGAACTTGATCCTGACTTAAAACTCAATTGAAATTGAGAGAATTTGTTCTTGTCTGCTACTACATCAGCTACTCTAGGGTCTTTAGGTACTTAGCTACCAAAGTACTGATTGACCAACTCTATCAATTAAACAGATACCTAAAACTCCAGTCTCAGGAATGCAGGCACAAGTAATCCCTTACCTTGACACTCAGTTCTTCCCTTGCTTGCTGTGTTTCGCTTAATTCCTTTCTAAGAATATTGATAGTTTGTTCCATATCTGTTTTTTCTTTCTGCTGAGTTTTGATTTTTTCTTCCAAGACGTTTATATTCTGTTGCAAGGCTTAAGAGAATGAACAAATTAGAAGATCAGATATCAAACTTAGAAAACAGATACTGCATTGGCCAGGGAAACAAGGGACTTTTTTATTAATTTTTTTTTTTAGACTCAGCATGGCTGCTAATTGAATTGCTGAGTAGTGCCACCTACTGATGAATTTTAGAGGTTGTTTCCAGTCATTTGCAGAGAGTTAAATTAATCTCTTCTAATTTGCATTTCATACAGAAAATAGTTTTAATGGACATGTTGCAAGAAGATCCTGAAGGGACACAAGATGCAGAGACTCAGTCAAGTCTGGGAAATCAACTTCATGCATCCTTTCTAAAAGATTACAATTTGTATTTGTTTCATTCAACTATTAAATTATGTATCTGTGCCCAACTTTTAAGGTTTACAAGTTGCTCATTAAGATACAGCAGCTTATCTAGAGCCTATAATAACAATATCTAGTTAATACAGTTATTTCTCTAGCTTCAGTGACCTTTAGGTAGGTGACTTACTTGCTATTGTGCCATCTCTCTCCTGCAGCTGTTGCTGTAATTCATTTCTGCGATGTTCACTTTCTACTAACTGTGCAGCATTCCTAAAAGTTCAGAGAAATAAATTTTAATGATTAAAATGAGTTATGCCACCATTTCCCTGTCCTAAGAAACTAAAATGATTTTTGTGATATTTCCTGTTACTGTCAAGAGCTTCATCCATCCTATGAATGTGCATGGTGTGAGCAGAGACAGATCTTATTTCCTTCCTGCCACCATGACCCAGCCACTGCCCTTCTCTGATCATGGTAGGAGCTACTGAAAAGGCTGATACCAGGACTACAAAGGCCAGAAACTGATGCCTTTGATCACAGCCACAGATAATTCAAAATACTGTGGCAGAACTAAAATTGGCATTCAATGCAAGTAAAAATTCCCTGCCATTAGTGATTAAGGATGCTGGGGTTTTAGCTCTTACTGTGCTCCTGAAGAGACAATGCAATTAGTAAAACCTGTTTCAGGTATTATCCCTGTATCTATACACAAAAAATACCATTTTGAACATCTCCTGGATTGTCACACAACACTCAAGAGTGACCATGCCATAAGACAGTGACAAAGCTTTTGTACAGGCCTGCCTCAGTTCTCACTAGTTTGGGTAATCCTCCGTTTCCACACTCATTTAATCCAGAGGTACTGGCATCTACCAGCAGTACAGCTCTGACAGGAGCACTTGACACTCTCTGAAGCTAATCTACCTTTTCCATTACCAGCCAGACTAATTTCTAAGGCATATTCTGCTTGCCACTTGCCTTGCCTAGATGGCATCTGCTGTCACTTTTGTTTACTTGTTTATCCACTTCCTATCTACTAGTTTCTAAGCTGCAGCCTCTAGCAAGAGGGAGGGACATATATTTCCTGTGTCTCCATTTCTGTGGCAGTTCAAGAGTATCTATGTAATAAACTGCTCCTCCAGACTGGCATTAACAAGGGTCAGTTTCATCAGAGTGCCTCCTCAGTTACCCTGAGCTGCATCTTGCACCATTCGATGTAAGTAGCCAAATTTGTTCAGGAGCAAACTAATGTATCAGTATGAAAATTTTCCATCTGAATCAGAACTCAAGGCAGTGATTTGGACTGCTCTGATTACTGACAAGGGTGGAGTGAACTTTCCCGACAGCATTTTATTTCTCAACTGAATACAAGGCCTGCCTATAAAAATATTTTAAATACATCTTCTGAAAATTATGTATTAAATAAAATCTGTCAAGATCCTATATTCCCTTAGTTACATTGGTGAAAGGTACAGCAGACCTCTATCTTAAGTCATCAAAAATGAAAATTTACAATTACTCTTCAAGAAGACATAGGTAATACAGTTTTATAGTTGAAAAAGATGTTTTATACCACAGGCAGAATACCACCCATCATGACTTCTAGGGGAACTTTCAAATGTGTTCATTTAGTAGGGTTGGTTGTTTTGGTTTTATTTTTTTTTCCAACTTGACAATATTAAGAGAAAACATACAGGCTAAAAGAAAATACAAGGAAATTTTTGCATGATAAAAGCATTTAGGAATTCAACAACAACCAAAATAACACCTCCATGCTCTCCCAAGGGCACCTAAGAATTGAGTCATCATCTTTCTCCTCATACTATTGCTGAAGTCTGTCAATATTCCCTCACCAATTGCTCCAACCAATTAAGGAACAAATAAAATAAACCTAAGTCAGTACCTACAGATTCTCATCAAAAATAAATGTATAAACCAACCCTGAAGCATCTTTGGCTAACTCCACTTCTCAGATGTTACTTAAAGTACAGTTGAAAAACTGAGACTAAAGTGCTATTTAGTTTTACTGCTTCACTTGCTTTAAAAAGACCGAACTGATCTGCTGCTTGAGTGATTCATTTAGTTTCATCATTGCTTCCACTTGTTTATTTAGTGAATTGCATGTAATCTGTAGATCTTTATATTGCCTTTCAGTTGTTTCATACCTACAAATGAAATGTAATTGCTTTTGAAGAGAGCTTTTACTTTAATAGTTTGCCAAATAAAAATATTTGATGTAATCTATGCGATCATCCCACTCAAGTGACAAGCAAGGTGTTTTTTGGAAGGAGGGTGTTCAGCTGAGTGTTTTTTGGTGACAGCTGGCTGTTAGTGTGTTAGACGTTTTGGGTTTGTTCTTTTTAAATCAACATACTTAGAATCATAGAATCATTTAGGTTAGAAAGGACCCTTTAGATCATTAATCCAGCACTGCCCAGTCCACCACTAAACCATGTCCCTCAATGCCCCATCTACATATCTCTTAGATACCCCAGGGATGATGACTCAGCCACTTCCCTGGGCGGCCTGTTCCACTGCTTGACCTGGGAGAAGAAAACAGATAAACAAACAAACCAGCCAAGCATCAGAGGATCTCTTACATATCCTGAAGTATTAATGATCAGGAAGGAATCTCCTTCCAGCAGAAAACTTTTAGGAATTGACAAAACTATAAATACCTTCAGAAATTTGCAAAGAGCTAATCTATAACAGTTTGTGTATGTCAGTCATCTTTTAAGGGACCCTATGATCTTCTATAATCTTGTCTTGTGATACTTAAAACTGAACATACTGAAGACAATGCAGTGTGTAATTAATACAGGCTAATGAGGCAGATTTCATGCTCTAAGCAAAGAGCATTTTCCTACCTTCCTACTGAAAGGCAAATTCTATCCCCTGGTGTCAGTTAATTGATTGCTTTCAAGAAACAGCATATATGAAGTATGAAGGTTGTTTTAAAAAGTAAGTTTTTGCTTTAGAAACACATTGTAAGGATTAGAAAGTTTTGTTCCTAGTGTGGAGAATTTAAAACTGTTAGATCCTAGACAGAGGCTGATTTATTTCCCATGAATTAGACAATACATGTTCACAAAGTGTGTGACTGCCTACAGTTCAAGCAAAAATGGAGGCACTTCCACAGTGACCATACTAGACACTTATTCAAGAAATCTAGTAATGAAAAAAAGCTTTACACATTTTCCTCCCTCAAAGACTCCTTTATTGGCAGCAATATGCTTTCAAAATGGTCTAATAATGCTTGATCCCATTATTAAACAAGAAACTTGATCTCAGTGTTATCAGTTTCTTTGCCTTGCTGACACCTAGTGTCAGCTCATGAGTTGAGAAGTCAAAGCTCTCTTAAGCCTTTATTCTTCCAAAGCACGTTCTAATTCAAAATATTTTCTATCTTTATGTTCTTTGCATGTCTCACATATTCTTTTTAGCTTAAGATCCCTAAAGAAATAATGCTTATAAATAATTCAGGACACACAATGTGTCTCCTTCCTCCATACCTCAGTTTTACCTAATTTAAGTGAAATTTGGTAGAGACTTGACCAACAACACCAAGCCCTACATTATGCAAACACACTGATATTGGGTGTTTCTCCAGAACTCTTGCAAGCATGGTATCAAGACAGCTTGTAAGATCAAAGAGAGATATGGAGAGCATGGTATAATGCTAACAGAAACTAAGCATTGTTACTTCTGTGTCTTAGAGAACAATGCTCTCTTTTTATACAAAGCTTGTGCTATTTCCTGAACTGAACCTTCAGCACCTACAATTCAGTTCTCATTCCAGTGAAAGCTGAATGTTAATACATTAATAAATTTAGGTATGTAAATGTAACAAATTTGAGTTCCTGAAAGACCTTATTGACAAGCATACAGAAGAAAAAATAATGACCTTTCCATTTAAGAACATGACACAGCATGTAAGGTTGCTCTTCTAATGTGCCTAGCACAGTAAAGGACATCAGAACTCTTTTCAAATTAAATATTTGTTTAGAGATCCTACATGCCTTACCTCTGAAGGAGATCAAGAGTGGATTTTTTTAGTCTTTCATGTTCTTCAGCAACTGCCTGCAACTTCCTGTTGTGCTGAAAGAGCTGCTCAATATCAGTCTGTGCTCTTTCATATTCTACCTGTTGAGCCTTCAACAAATCGTTAAGCTCTTCATTTTTTCGTTCTGCATCCTTCAGAATTGCAGCAAGAGTTCTTGCCTTTGAGTGGAAAGACACCCCCAAATAAAAAGAGAAAAAAAGTCACATACATTAAAAGGAGTTCTGTTTCTTCAGCTGTATTAGGCACGTTTGAGGCCATAGATCTAACACCAAAATGTCACCATCTACATTAAGAGAATAAATTCCCTCACCTAATATTAACTACAAATTAATTGGTTCACTAAATTCCTTTAGCTCCATTTATAGACAATCTGAGGGAAGAGGGAAGAACAAAGTAAAAGCTGTGGATTTAGTATCCACTAGCACAATCTTTAATGCAATCTTTAAAGAATAGAAATTATTCTCACTTTTCAATGTGCAGCCCAAATACAGACCCCACAAAAGCAAGCTTGATTTGAAAGTTCATCTCTGACCAGTGAATCAAAGGCACAAACAGCAAACAGTTCTTTATATACCAGCAAATTCGATAGAGAATTCTAGTAAGTGGGTTTATTACTTTTTAATATTGCTGAATTATCACTAATGGCTAGCAAATTATAACAAGCAGAGTAGGGTGGTTTTGTTGACGTCCTGTAAGGGAAATGACATTAAAGAAAACTGTGCCAAAGAACAGGCCAGAGGAAAACAGGATTTTCATGATGAAATTTAGGACTGCCTTAACTTGCAAGCACAGCTTACAGGTAAGCAGTATAGTTTTCACATGTGATCACAGTTAAAGCCACCCAGATAATCATTACTCAGTCCCACCTTCAAGTTCCTTTACTAACCTCAGACTCAGCCTGGGCTCTCTGACACCGGTACTGAGCCGTCAGCCTCTCAGCCTGAGCCAGAGCTACTGCCTTTACTTCCAGTAGATCCTGCAGCCTCGTTTCTTTAGACTGCATACAGAGAGAACATTTCTCATTAACATTTCCTGAAAGCACCAACTGCAGCATCCCCATGCACATTAGGCTGTACTCACTGCTAACGCCAACAGCTTCTGCTCGTAGACATCCATTACGTCAGATATCCTCACATCAGCCAAGGGCTCCTTCATCTGTGGAAACGTTTTCCAATCACTGATACTGGGAATTTCAATTTACTTACACAGGTAATGTGCCACTAAAGAGCTCAGTAGTTTTGTGAACTCCCCCTGCCACTAGACTTTTTGAATTCACGTTTTTGTGTCTGAGGCTATCTACTCAAAGATATCCACCTCACCCTTGAGGAAAGTTTGTGAGCAATTGAACTGGTTAGGCTTAATAGGATTCATCTGCAGAACACTATCAGTCCAGAACTATAAAAAGGTAAAATCACCATTCTAAAATCATTCCCCTTGGTTCAATCTTTGTTGAAGAACTAGCAGGCCCCTCATAGGACACCTAAAATAATGTGCCCTAAGATTAACAGCACAAAATGCATATGGTTAAAACTCCTTGTTTATACTCTGCTGCTTTCTCAACATACATATTGAGAGAAAAGGCCCAGGAAAGTTTTTCTAGGATACTGGAAAGGATACTATTGAGGACCTAGAGAGCCTACTGCGTTAATCCAGTGACTTACTAGAGGAAATGCACCATGGATGGCACAAGGAGACCTAAGTGTTTATTAAAGTATATGCCTGAGTCAAGTGAAAATGCTACTTAGATTTCAGGGTGTTTTCTCTTAGGCAGTCCTGCTATAACACCCGTTCTGAGCAGCTGTTCACAGATGCTGATGCACAACCAAGTGCAAACTATGCCAGCTGTTCATACATTGAACACCTACAGAAAAGCCTGCAGCATCCTGAACCACTATGTATGAATGCTTCTTGAAAATTAAACGGGAGACCCTGTGTAGCTCCAGTTCTCAGCTCATTTTTCTGTCCCTAAAGAATGAAACAAGTAGTTTATTTTCCTACTTGCAAACTTAAAATATCTAAAGGAGATAGAAATGACTCCAAGAAAAGTTTTAAGAATGAAATTCCCTTCATTCTCTCTGAACAGTGATACTATGAAAAGTGTTTTCTCAATTATGTTTTTACAAGCATTTGAGCTTCACACAATACACAGAGCTCAAGTACTGGATATTTTAGAGTGAATGTGTATATTGCTTTTGAATTACTAATTAGAAGGGCTAAGAAAAGAATAACTCAACAATTCATAAACAACTTTCACCCTAAAAAAAACATTGAAGCAGATTTACAATCTGTCACGTTACTGTGAAGCTGCTGCATTAGTGCTGTGTAGGTACCTGTGCTTGCTTTGATTTCCATTAATATGAACACAGCAATGCACCCACAGACTGTCATGCAGTCCTGAAAAGAACGATCAAGGGGAGCATCCAGTGGCAGAGTAAAAAGTAAGCCAAGGAAGACTCACCTGACCTTTTTCACTGTTATTCAGGCATCTCTCTGAGATGGTAGCTCTCTGCTAGCTAATGGTACCTCTCTGAGTTTCACTTTTATCAGTTACAACAAAGAGATAAGAGTTGCAAAGCTAAGGCTGGAGGCAATACCACTCATACAAATATCAAGCTGTTAGCAAGAAACTTTCAATTTCTTTATCCAATTTGCATACTGTTCTTTTAAGCCAAAAGAAAATAGAATCAATAATCCATCTCTCACTCTAAAGCAGCTACAAAGCAGCTAACTTGCTTTGAACAGAAAAGGGAAAGAGGAGATATATTCAGTATCTGCCAGGATGCCCCACAAAGCAGCACATGGTATGTGGTTCCTGGTTGGGTGTTTCATTCACAATGCAAGCTGCTGCAGAGGGAAGTAAAACCTGCTTTCTGAAATAATAACAGCACCTTTCCAAGAAGGCCACAAAAGCTGAGCTGCAAATGCTAGAGTCAGCTACAGCCAACAAAAGGAGAATGTCAGTATGCATGTTTAGGCATACGAGAGATGCACCACACTTTTCTAAAGTAGCACAGCATCTCTACTCTATAACAGGCTATTTCTTGGGAAGCAGAGGGAGGAGGTTCCTTGTATGTATCCCTGCAAGTCTGAGCAGTTGGACTGTACCTGGCTCCTGCCTCTGCATCTGACAGCTAAGATGACTGTGGGCACACCCTCTGGAGAGGGCCCTCAGTAAGGAGCCCTACCTTCAGGTGTAGCTCAAGATAGCATCTCTGAATTCTGCTCAGGAGCTCAGTAAAAAGAGCCCACTCCAAACAGACAGGAATCTAAACCAAACTTAACTGTTCCACATACAGTAGTCAGACACTTGGATTTTCATTTCCGCCCCTTCCAGTAAAAAAAGTGTCAAATGTTTCACAAGGGTATGTAAATTCTACTAACCTCTAGTCCAGAATGAAGTTTTTGTATTAATTCCTCAATATTTGAAGCTTTGGAGTCATTACTTGAAGGATAGGATGAAGAACACCTCACTGAAGTAGTGCTGGTCACAGGTGCCTGCATTTGGATTCTCTTTGCTCTGTGCTGCATTTCTTGCTGTCTGTAGGCATTATTTGCTACAATGCTTTCACCCAGCCTGTATAAACATGAGGCTGTTAATGACACAACCTGCTGCAAATAGCATTGCAAGGACTGAAGATGAGATGTACAGCCACATTTGCATTACCACACCTTACAAAGATGTGTGTTGGGCATGTGCTCAAACTGGCCAGAGGTACAGAAAAAAGGGGAAAAAATGTATCATGGCTAACTTTTAGGACAAATACAGAATCTCATCAGAAAGGGTACAGTGCTCAGCTCTTTGGAGCAACAGATCATATCTCTTATGCACCTGAGAAACAGGTTATTTCACCTGTTATTATTCAAATTAACTGGGCCACTGTGTGTATCAAAGAAGATGAAGAAAGCATTAGTAAGGATTTTTATTGGGCATAAAAATAAGATTAAATCAAGAAAAGGCAGAGTGCAACCAATAAACCTCAGTTTTTCTTTGTCTGCCATTCTATTTTACAATACTGTACTGCATACAACACATTTGATTTAGTAAGTTTTAACCAAAATTTAAGTATGAAGATAAAAGTGCAATCTGTTTAAATTTGTATAGGGAAGAGAACTCAAAAGCTTAGGGGAAAAGCACCTATATTCAGGTGCCTGTATGTAATTTGTGGCTGGTATTTTCAAGGCAGGTACCAATAACATGTTTCAAACAAGAATGATAAATCAAGAGCTGATTCTAGAGGCACCAGTTATAAATTTTTTGTTCTTGATAAATTCCTTAATTACTAAGCTATCCCAGCCTCTTCACTGAAGTGCTGTCTCAATTGCTTCCTAAGTGAGCATAGCTTATTTTTATCTTGCATTTACAGACATGTTATTTGGCTGTTCCATTGTACAATTCCAGACATATTTGATTTTATAGATCCTTCTTCTTTCAGCCAGACTATTCATTACTGGCTACTATAAAAATATTTCTTATATCCACAAACCCATATAATTATGGAATAATTAAGATTGAAAGAGACCCATCTGCACACCACCTAGTTCAACTCTCCTGCTCTTAGCAGGCTGCCCAGGACTATGCCTTGTAATTTTGACTCTCTCAAAGGATGAAGACTCCACAACTTCTTTGGGCAACATTTTCCAGTTTGACCTCACCTTACAGTAATTGGGTCTCTTTTCTGATATTTAAAGAGATCTAAAAGGTTTTCTTATATTTCAGTTTGTGCCTACATCTATCCTGTCAGTGGATACCACTGAGAAGCCTGGCTCTGTCTCTTTTGTTCCTTTCTATCAGCCATTTCAACACACTGGTAAGAAGCCTGCAAGTCTTCCCAAAAGTAAGCAAGCTCAGCTCTTGCAGTCTCACCTTGTGTAATACATGCTCATCCCTCAAACTCCTCACTAGACTCACTCTAGGATGTCTGTATCTCTCTTGCACTGGAGAGCCCAGGCCTAGACACAACACTACAGGTGTGGCCTCACCACAGCAGAGCAGAGGGGAATGCCCTCCTTTGCCCTGTCATCAGGACTCTTCAAGTGCAGTTCAGGGTGCTACTGATCATCTTTGCTATTCTTGAAGACAGAAGTTACATTTGTTTTCTTCTAGTCTTAGGAACCTGTCCCAGTCACCATGAATTTTCCAAGGCATTCTGGAGTGGCCTTGGAATGACAACAGGCAACTCCCTAAGCACTCAAGGGCACATCCTGTCAGGTCTTCTGGACTTCTGTATGCTCAGTTAGTTTAGATGTCCAATAAGCTGACCCTGTGCCACCCAGAGTACGTCTTGCTTCCTCTAGGCTTTCCCATTGCTCTCAGGGACATTGCTCTGCCTTTGGGAATCCTTATCAGTGAAGACCAAACAAGGCATTCAGTATGTCAACTTTTTCCATGTCCTTTGTCAACAGGTCCCCTGTTTCACTCAGCAGAAAGGCATACATTTTCATGTCTGGCGTTTGCTGCTGATGTAATGGTTTTTCTTGCTACCTTGATACCTGTCAGGTTCGACACCAGGTTGTGATACAATTTGAAATATTTTTTGTGTATTTTATTACATCTCTGGAAATAAGGACTTCACCAGAGTTTCTCAATAATTTTTCCATTGTTTAAACCACCTTATTAAAATACTACCTGAACTGCCATCTGCCTGTGTCTTAGCCTAATCTGTTCTTTCGTGGAAGATACTGCAAAAGGGTGAGTAAAGCTTTAGGAACTGAAGAATGACACATCTGACAGAGTTCATTAGAGAGAAATCTGATAGTCAGATGAACCCTAAGTTCCAAGCACAGATTTCAGAGAGATGAGCACAGGGACAGGAGTCAATTGCTCCTCTGCTCTCTAGGATCTGACATCAAATGAACACCATCAGCATTGCGATGGCTTCCTCTGGCCTCTGCAGGATCACTGTGGTCTCGTAAGTGCACATAAAGCAGAAACAAGACAATTTTTCTAAAGTTTCTGTGTCTGATAAGCTGAAAATAGTACTCCAAAAAGCATGAATATCACTAAACTCATAAAAATGTCAAATGTAACCAGAGTATCACAGAAATGCTTACGCTAGGGCAGGAAAATCCGGTAAGGGTGCAACCTCAAACAGTATTTTAAGCCCCACTTGGACCCGCTCTCCATGGTCTGATGTTAAAGCAAATGTCAAAGGTGTAATCAAGCGCTGATCCTAAAAATAAATTCGTTTGGTCAACACAAAACACAGCAGACAACAACAACAAAAAACCCCACAAAACACAAACTACCAAAACATCACAAGGCCCATGAACACAGAAATGCTTTATTCAAAACTTAAGTTACCTTCTTGAAGGTTGCCCTTCTAAGTTTCTGGGCCTGAAGTCCACAGAAGACATGTGATTTTAAAAGAAGTCTATACTTCTGAGTACTTGAAATCACATTTTACATTAAAGGCAACTCAACAGGTAAAGAGGGTAGTTAATTTCTGCAAGTTTTCAAGTGCTTGACACTCAACATAAAAGGTCACTAGCAGAAGTTATAAGGATTAATTGTGGACTGTAAAACTCATGTTACCCATTAAATTACACAATTCCCATTCTAGAAGCAAGAAGTGTTTGACTCTCTGGACTGCTTTTCCATCTATAAAGTAATAAATTAAGGTATCATCTGACCAGAAACTCTTTTGGCCATGCAAAGCTCCAAATTAGATGTACATATTTAATAGTAACCAAACCCAAAAGTGATTGTATTGCTGTGGTAATTGTTTTCTAGTTTGCTACCTTTAAACTGCAGTCATAATGCAGTCTCAAAAGGATCATTCTTACCAAGCAGCTAAAATATGATTTCATATGCATTACCAAAACAAATGATGAGAGTAAAAGCAAACTACTTTAGAAGTTATTTTAGAAGAATAGTGACACAACCTTTAGGAATTGTGCATAAGGGACTGTACTTTCCTAGAAGCTTTACCACTTCAGAGACAACCATGCAAAACATTTATAACTAAAACTACTGTAGTGCAGTGACGCTTTATTTCACAGATACATTTCATAAAACATTTTAAAATCGTACCTGTAACATTTTGTAGAAGCTGACCTTCATATCAGGTACATCCTGCTGCAATCTGCTCATAAGATCAAGTGTTTTCAAAATAATATCAGTAGCAAGTTTGCTTTTAAACATCCAAGTAGAAAAGCAAATTGCGTGGAAAAAAAAAAAAGGTGAGATATGTCAAATCAGCACTGACAAATCCAGTCAATTTAAAAAAACCCTAATAAATACCTTCACAAGGAAAATAAATATATCTAGCAAGGCAATGATGCTAGAACCAAAGAGATCATACTGAGTTCCCTGGATGTGTGCCTGAGCTTCTCCAGCATGTCAAGGATGGCAACAGTGAAGACCAAAAACACCAATTCCAGTTGAAAGTGAGGAGGGTTTAATTATAGGTCCAATTATATTTCACTGAGTTTTGGCCAGGGAAACTGGCTATAAGTTATAGCTATAGCTAAGCTATAAGTTATAGCTAATTTATAGCTATATTCACTTTTAGCTATAACAACATTGAGCTGAAAGAAATGTGCATTTAATTTTCAGTACAACAATTGAAAATTGTTGCCCCCCATAGCCAATTTTGAAACTCTGATCACATAAAATCAAAATGAGAAATCACATGCCATGAGCAGTTCTAGTAAGCTTTCACTTGGATCAGCCTGAAACTACTGCATGGGGTTTAAGGTCATTATTCCACATAAGTGGATCTCCAGCTTATGCCAAAAACATTATCTGAATAAACTGACCAGCAAGATTACTTTTTAGTCCACAAAATACCAAGTTTAATTTAATATCAACATTGATTTAAATGGTACTTTCAACTACTATATTCTTTTCATTGCAACAATATCACAACTCTCACTCTAGTCATGTCTAATTAGATTTTAGATAAATATGTGTGCTCACCACATTTTAGAGTCCACCAATTTTGTCCCAAAGCCAGTATCAATCCCACAATAAGGAAACTGGTGTTCTATCAGACATGTGCATTGGCTGGCAGTCAGCACCTTCGAGACATGCATTTTCAGTGTGTCATCTCTGCAGAGCAGTAGGCAGAGTTAAGAATAAATTCAATATACCTATGCCTAGGTATTGGTACCAAAAGGCAATATTATATAATAAGGCTAGGGCCAAAAAGCTAGGGCATCAAAGCACAAGAGCCTCTAAAAATGCTTGTAATACCCAACAACATAAAGCAATTAATTCATGCCTAACAAATCAAATATGCTTCACTTTTCAGTTAATACATACACTTATTGGAAACAGACAGTGAAGGCAAACCTTAATAACATGGGTGGCATAAAGAAGCATAGTCAGCAAAAGGCAGGGACCAGGCAGTCCCCAATACAAGAGTCAGTTACCTAGAAGTGAGCTAGCACAGACTTCTCCACAGAACTCAGCTTAAATGCAGGACTACACCCTGCAGTTATGTCCCCCTTACTAAACTTACTGTGGACACTAAGGACTCAGTGAGGAGTGTAAAATTGTATAATTCCATGTTATTTTTTGTAGTTTCTCTTATCTAAGTTTGTATCATATTTGGCTGGGAGTTGCACTTGTCTTAGCTAGGCAACAATACTATATGGATCAAGAAGATGGCTGCCCAAATTTCCCCACAATTTCAGTGGAAAACACTCATGTTTGTTTTTGATCTGCAAATGGCTTCTGTTCTGTTGAATAGCCACAACATTTTATCCTGCACCACTGTATTACAAAATAATTTCACAGCAATTAGAAAGCTACTTTAGATCTTGCAAGACGACACTCCTAAGTAAAATTAGGGCAGATATTGTCATTAGAAGCTATTAAAGTGACTCAAGGTGAACATGTCTTTTAATATCTTAGAGCACATCATGGTGGAGGAATAATAAATCAGTTGCCAAGAAGCACATTAAAAGGATATTTGTGAGGACATTAATAGCCTTGACCATTCTTTCACACTTTTTCTTCACTAATAGCTCATCCACAATCTGTTCTGGCATCTGAAGATGATCAAGAAGAACAGGTAGCAAAAGATCCATAAAGTGTTCAGCTGATTTACCATTCTTATTGTTGGTAACATCCTGTAGTAAAGACATTTTATGTCAATATTGAAAAGTACAACACAAGGAAGCCAAGCTTACTCTACCCCTTCCTGCACCAGTCCGTGTTCCTGCTTTCCCAGCCTCTTGCTATTTCAGGCGTAAGATGGCTGAGCAGTATCATACTGGAGGAGGAAGTTTACAGGGAACAGAAACAGCAAGAACTTCCTCATTTCTGTAAGTCCTAGGAAGGAACTCTGATAGTGTTCTGCCTACCTCATGACTTCATAAACTGCCTTGTCTTCCACTTACAACACAGACATATTTCTAAAATACTGCATGTCTTTAAAAGAACGGTTGTTTTGTGAAGTATGTTTCTTCCAACATAACTATTATACAATGAACTTTATTACAGGTATTTTTGTATGCGCTATTTTTCAAGTCAAACTACAACAGTTTATATATAGTTTACTATAACTATAACAGTTGCTTAAAAATAATTTAAAAATAAGAGCTACTAAGAAGCTCTTTAAACTCAGTTATCAGTCTCGGTACCTCAAAAATCTCTTTGAGTAGTTGCAATGCTAGCCCTGAACAGTCTTCAGAGCCTTCCAATGGTTGGTTTGACAAGTGCACCAATGCAACAGATGGTTCAAAACTCTTTGAGCTAGTCCCAAGTCTGGTGTTTGCAGAGCCTGGCAAGCCAGCTGGTTCCAGTATCGCCTGCCGCAGGGTGTGACGCAGTTCTAGCACAGAGCAGAAGGCAAGCAGCAGCTCTAAGATCTGTGTGAAGTGAAGAAGAGTTCAAATACTTTTAAATCAAGAACTTATACAGAAACTGCAGCTCCCATAACACAAGTCTAAAGAGATACACAAGTTCTATGCAACTTCTTTCAGCACTAGAGTTTTTTGAGGAATAATTTCCTTTCTTTAAAGCCAAGTCAGCAGCAGAAACAGTTCACTGGACTGGTGAAGGCTTGTGACCGTATTCAGTGTATTGCATTCTTCTGACATGACTGCTGGCTAGTGATACAGTAAAAGTACAAACATGTACACACTCAGCATGAAGAAAGCCATCAAAGAGAAAAACATTCTGAGACAGGAATGGATGCACATCTATTCTCTGAGCATGCACAAAGAGAAAACCACCCTGGAAAGTTCAATGTCAACATGCCTCTCTAAACTAAATAAACAGCAGCAAAACCACACAGAGAGAAATAGTAGTGTCTATTATTAACTAGGATGTGTAACACATTAATAGAAAAAAGCTCCAGATTTGTTTCACAGATATATTTAGCCCCAACATTTTCACATTTCATATTTTAGCCTCTAGTGACAGATAGCCAATGTTTCATTTACATAAGGTAGTAGTGACACAAAGCTGAATGTAAAAGTCCACTGCTTAAACAGAAGCGGCATCTATTTGTTCAGCTAAGGCAGGAACACTTATTCCTACACATTTGGGATTAGCATCAGGGTTCCCTGATCACCAGCTGAAGTCTGAGTAGTATTAATTCAAGGTTTAGAGAGCAAAGTGGGATATACTGCATTCCTGGTAGATGCCAAAATTTCTAATAGCCAAAGCACAAAAGGTGTTTATGTTGGCTTTTTGCCTTTACATCTGTTGCCTGAAAGCAGACACACAATCTGGCAAAACCCCAACATTACAAATTCAACCTGACAGCCTTTTGAATAACTAGAAAATATAAACCTGGTGAATTCTCTAGGTCATTTAAGAGTCCTGAAGACAGTGTATTTCATGACCAACCCTTGTACACAAGGAACCTATTTATAATAACAGAAGAGAAACTAGTTTAGGAATGTAGCCTCAGCCTTTAACAGAAAAAGTATAAATACCTTAGATGATGAATCAGGATCCCTTCCATGAAGAAGATCTAATACTTGACCAAGGCAAGAGGTGAAGTGCTTGTACCTATAGCATGCATAGAGAAGAAAAAAATTATAAACCCGAAATTTCAGCACATTTAGACATTTACACCAAGTGATGAATGAAAGTGCCCTATTCTCCTTCTTATCCCCAAACACTTCAAGTACAGTGATGGTTTTGATAACATAATTTCTACAGCACAAGCATTAAAATATTTCAAGTTATTTATCACTAAGAATGAAAGCAAATTCCTTAAAATAAGCTATGATTTTTCAGCTATGTTTACTGCTTGATTTAGATTAATAATCAGCACCTAAATTCTGCTAGTGGAAAATTTGCAAAACTACTAGTCAAGCCCTCCACAGAACCACCCTCCCCAATAAAAATATTACTTCTTGTAACTTCAACTATATAACACTGTAAAAGGCAGGATAGCTACTCATCCTGTTGTCTGACTACCAACACTGTCCAGACAAAACATTACAAACATTGCAGAACAGAGTATTCAATGTTCCTTCAGTGACAATGAAAAAAACAGGTTTTAAGTCACAGTTTTGTATCAAACTAGTAACCCAGCAACCCTTTAGATTCAGATATAGCAGTTATAATTATAATCAACTAGCAACATTCAAAAAGCATCTTGGGATTTTTTTTCCCCCTAGTGTTTGGTTTAGAATTCAAATAGCGTACAGCAAAGAAACTGAACTAGAGCTTAGGAAAAATACTTTTAGGAAATGGAGCCATACCTGGTAAGATAATCTGCCACTTTGGGGTTCTTCATAAGATCCATGAGTAAATCAACAGAATATTTTCTTGTTAGAGTATCTCCATTTACAACAATATTGAATATTAACTGAAATGTCTGATGGATATTTCGAGCGTGAAAGAGCTGGAAAGAAGAAGAAAGTTATGTATAGTCACATATTTTGCTGGGGGTCTTGCTCATTAAAACTAGCTGGAATTCAGATTTTATTTGGGCAGTATGACAACTGGTTTTATCTACAACTTAAGAATAAAAACAACTTCAAAGACACACTTACTTTTTCTCCTACTTCTTCATTTAGGGTAAGGCTTGATAACACCGAAAGCGCAAACACAACCATAGTCAAACTGCTGTGAGCCAAGAAACTTATTAAGGTACGATAGAAACTCTTCACATTATTCTACAGCAAAAAGGAGAAACAAAGATATTACAAACCCATCAAATTTACAGGTCTGACATATTTATACATAAGCCATACAAATAATGAATAATACAAAAAAATGTTGGTATGGTAACAGTTCTCTGAGAAAGCTATTTCATTGTTCTGCTGACATTGATGTTAATGTTCTCTTTTCAACCTGTATAAGGAAAAATGAGAAAAAACACCCCAAAACAACAGAGAACCAACGAAGGAAGAAATTCCATCATTATTTTAAGGAAAGATGAGAAAGTCATTTTGCTAAAGCCCATAAGAGAAAATAATCACTGAAAATTGACTCCTATCCCTTCTCTGACTAATGATCAGATCTGACAATATTTTCTCTCTTTTTTTTGCCCCCTGCCTCTTCCAAGGTAAACAGAACATTTGCTTTTATGTACATTAATTTCTCTTTCTGAACTAAAAAATAAAATGTTTCCACTGATTTATGAACATAGAGGAACCAAGCAGTTCAGATATCTATATGTATTTGAGGGTTCAAGGACCCTGACATGAAGATCAGTGCTATTTTACTGATTTATCTTTTGAAAAGCAAATCTGCTTTTTGCTTATCAAAAATCCACCTATAATCTTTATGTTTTAATGACATTTAGTTTTCTCTATGGAAGAATGATCACATTTTCAATTCACTTTTCAGCTGCAGAGAACAGCTGCAAAAACCAAACACATAATACAAGCCAGGGCAACTACACAGCAATATACCAAAGGAAAGAGGATACCCAACTTCCTGTTCTGCTTGTTATTTCCTCCAGCATGGAAGAAACAACTGCCCTTCGGCAGAATAAGCAGAAAGTGTTAAAGTGCTGAAAGTGTTAAAGAAGTACTAAGGTACCTAGTAGAGTCAATTAACTCTTACCCTTAAGCTGGAGAATCGTGACACAAAAGCAAAGCTCTTACCGAAGATTTTATCTGACTTTGAACAGACAAGTTGTGACGACAGAGGTTTGCCAGGAGTCCCAAACACGGTATTGTTAACTCATCTTCAGTGGATTGACTTAAAAGAAAAGCCGAAAAGATGTTTTCATTGAAACATCCTGAATTTAATTACAAGAAATAGAAGGGTGGGGGCTGGGAGAGCTGGGTGGTGGGGGGACTTATATTTTGTTTTGTGTCTTGACAAGAGCTTGTTTTTTAATGAGACACCATTTCATCATGCAAAGAAAAATTAAAACTGTAATCCATGCAGTGTGGGCAGCTTTTAACTGAGTAGATCTGAAAAAAACCCAAAGTATCAGAGATCACTGCTATCAGAGGTTGTTTATTACATATAGTTGTAAGTTTCATTAGATTTCTTACAAGAGCACTTGAATCAAATTTTTATTAATCTAACAGGTCTGCTCCTAGTGACGAGCATGAATTTCCTCCTGGCTTTTCTCTTTATTAGCTCCCTGCTCCCACAGATGTGGAGGTGGGCTGAGGCCAATTAATATTCCATCACTCAAAGTCCCACAATCACTACATTTGACAATCTGCAACAAGTACATGGTTTTCAAAGGAAAGTGATAACTTCAGAGCACAGCTCACTCTGGAGACCAGGTTAGTACAGTACTCTAATAGTCTTCAGAAAGTTTAGAAACTTAGCTTGCTGTTTCCCACTAGAAAAGACACTGAGTACACACTTACACATGATGCATTAGAAACAAAATTAATCCATCGATGTTGGCACCGCCACAAAAGACGGGAACGTTGTAGGTTAGTCTCTGCAGCAACTGAATACCCTGAGGAAACAGAAAGCTGTTTACATGCTTGTCCTACACCATCTCAGGAGAAATGTTACAAAAGATGAAACTGAAAGGACAAATATCAAAACAACACAACTTAATTAATTTTCAGACTCTAACATTAACATAACAATTACATAAGCTGCTGCAAGCACATTGTAATGTCCTAACATACTGATGTGCTTAGTAAAACTCCAAAAATATTATTAAGATTTTATTTTGACAGAGGAGTTAACTTTTCAGCCCATTTGATTCCTTAAGTTTTAGCTTTCATATTTTTCAGATTCTGTACTGCCTTAATGTGTAACTCTGAGCCTTATACTAAATGTTAGTAAGTTCTCTTCTCAGGGTAGATAGACAAAACAATCCTTTTCCAGCTTGGGAACCAGCTTCAGGCCCAAAGAGCATAAATAGCAGTGAACTGAAAAGAGCAAACATGGAGGATGGGACTTCATAACCTGAAGCTGTAATTGCACAATTAACCCCAATATGTAAATAGACCAAAACTTATAAAAGTGTGAAACATTGTGACCATTTTAGGTCCATCTTGGGTGTAGTCCTGACCAGGCTCTTGTACTGCCCAAGGTGTATCCTTTTAAGGTCTTTTAATAAATACCTTCTTCCTTTTTTAGCTCTGTCTAGTCTCTGTTTCAAGTCAGCCTCTCAAGGCATCACATTCAATTCTCCACCTTTGCCTTACCAGCAAGTTCTCCATTCTGTCAGTGATAACCAGGCTTTGTCCTATTGAAAGGTCTAGAAGTCTCACCAAAATCCAAAAAAGCACTTTCAAGCTCTTGTAGAAAGGATGCCTACAGGAAAACAGGTTTGCTCTAAAGACTGCCAACTGATCTAAGGGTAGCAAAGTCCTTCTACAGCACTCTTCTGGCACATAACCGAAGTTAATACACTCAAACATGACAAAAATCACACCAGAGGTTAGCAGTTGAAACAAAACCTCAACATTTAGATATCTAAGAGCTTCAAGGTTTTAAGATTGGATCTATCTGGTGACTGCAAAATCTCTCCTATTGACTGGTAAGTCACTTGGATCCCTAGATCTTGTGGTATTCCCAGTGCTTTGAGAAATACACAAATCACAGGAATAGAGATCTTTACTGGATGCCTGACTTGTTTTCCACACAACAAGAGCCACAGGACTACCAGTAAATTAATTTTCTGCTTTTCAGAAAGAGACAACAGGCAAACAGCAAGTACTTGCTGAAAGCTTAGAGGAAAATCTGTGCATATTTGAAAAAAATAAAGCAAACTTTAAGGACAGGTTAAAATTAGTGAGTTCAAACTGATAGTCAGACATTCACTTAAGCTTTGATTAGTACAGTGCCTGGCATTCACTGGCAGATAGCACTGACCAGAAAAAAGGAGGCCACACATGCTCTGCCAACCTCTCATGAAAACAGGCAGCCACAACTTTCCTTTCACTCCTTCACAGTTACCTGTCAAAGTACTCCTTAGACAAAATGATCTCCAGGCTTGTGTTATGAAACGGCTTTTGTCAGGAGAAACAGCCAAATACCTCAACTGGAAATCAATCTTCTGAGCTCTCAACAATGACTTCTTGAAATAATTTTTAAAAAGCAGCATTTTTTTGGTTGGTTGTTATTTTTGCTTTGTGGGATTTTTTAGGGGCTCTTTGATTGGAGCAGGTGAGAAGCCCAGTAAGAGTAAAGAGAGTACAAAGAACTCTATAAATTGTAAAATTCCTGTCACACCTCATATAGCAAATAAGGTACACAGCTAAGATCAACTTTCGCTTGACACGTTATTTCCAATAGAGCTTTTGAAGGGTTATTATATGCATAAAGTATAATGTTCATTATGCAACAGTAGCCAAACATGATGAAGCAGTAGTTCCTTTACCTGTACTAAGACTGGGTCACTCAGATTAGTAGAACTTCGATGAACCACTCCTGCCAGCACGCTGGTCAGATTGTAGGTGTCCTGGAGAGCTTCTCTAGTCTCTGTGTCTGAAGCTGGAATTTGGGAATTATTAGCAAAAGAAACTGTCTTATTAGCTACCAGTTGAAGCAAAAGCCAATGTTTTTGAGCAGTTCTTCACCCATGTTTTAAAGGCAATTACAAACAAATGACAGCTCCTACGCTCTTGCCTCTCTACCTCACCTTTGGGCATACAGTTAATTATAACACTAATCCATTTCCTTAAGATGGTTGGACACTGAAAGAATAGTCAACCTCCAACCTACCAAGTTTCATTTCTGAGATCTTGAAACCTGCACTTCAAAGGCTTAGATCTTAATGAGCTCAGTTTCTTGCCTCACGCTATGGTAGAAAGGTAGACTCAAACTGATAACCTGATAGTGTTATCTAGCATTAGTTAAATAAATAAATAGAAGCCAGTTCTGCTTAGGCAATCTTCAAAGAGTTGTAGCAAAACAAGTAGAGCAATAGATCATTTGGAAGAGGACTTAATTCTTAAAATTTTCCAGAACCCTATAACAAATTTCACAGTAATTGTTCCAAAAGCATAAAAGGAAGCCCAGAGAGGCTTAAACTCCATGAATCAGAGAAGATAAACAAGGGAGCGTCATAAAGGACTCAGATCTTCAATAACTACTCATATATGATGAGAAACTAAGCAATGATGGCAAAATTTTTCCCTGTATATATAGGTTGTGCTCTGAGCACAGAGCTCCCTGGATAATGAAGTCCCATTTCCATGAAATAGAGGGGAAAAAAAAACAAAACCAAAAAGGCATTTCAATACACAAGCAAAAGGCAGTAGAACCTCTTTGCTGTTGGGAAGCTTGATGCACATAGGCCAGGCTATTGGAGCCCACACTGCCAGCAAACACTCCAGAGAGGTAACCTGAGATGATGACAGTTGAGGATTGTTGCAGACAGGTAAAAGATGTTATAAAAGAAAGGTCTTATAAAATATGGCTTAGGCCCTGCTACTCTAGCTAAAGCTAGCAGTAGCTTTTAAGTTCCCATGTGAAGAAATCCTAAGAATGAGAATTTGTTTGCATTACAACCTATTCTTAGAGAGAAAAATAAGTGGCACCTGCATAAACAATAGATTTGTCCCATGAGAATCCACCAAAGATATATGTAAACACCTGTAGATGGAGAGAGTCTTAACACCTACACACACAAGCACTTTCTAACCAACGAATTAAGGAGCAAGAAAACTACTAGCCAACCAGAGTTGAGCATGAGGTCTGTGAAAACTGTGTAAAAATAGTTATGAGAATAAAGAATTGGCTTCTTCTGCACGAGGAAACTGAGTCCCAACTGATTGTTATTACAACAGAGGATGTGACACCACTTCTCCCTATCCTTGCACACCCTAAGCACATTTCTCACTTGATTAAAAAAGTAGTCATTTCCAGCTCCAAAAATAAAGGACAAGAGAATAATTTCTCACTCTACCCAGTGGATAAATTCTCAGCATGATCATTGTCATTCAGAGGGATGACTTCAAATCTCCTTCTCACTGCAAAACTTCTTAATAGGTACCTTAGCCAAGCACTCCACTACAATGAAAAATACTTCATCTTTCACACCTCATGCTTCTTGCAAGACATTAATCACCCACAACACAGACAGATAAGACAGCATCTGTCTTATCTTCCCTTGTCCAGACAAAAGATAAAAAGTTCAGATGCAAACCTTACCTAGCTGTGATAGCAAAGTAACCACAGACAAGACCAGAGAAGGGTTTATATTAGTGTCCTCCAGGAGCTCTACAAGGCAACTGAGACATTCACTTGGTAGAATCTGGTTTGAAGCAAAAAAACGGGTAAGCTTCAGTCCGGAGATAACCTGGAGATGAAAGGAGAAAAACCTTCCTTACTCAACTGCAACAATGTAATTGACACAAAAGTCGTTGCACAAGATTTTGTCCTACTTGACAAACTGAGAATGTAAGTGTCATTGTATTGGGACATTGATGTTCACGTGTGCTGGGGGAAAAAAAGAGGCAGAAATGGAAAAAAACTGTTTTCCATTCCTTTATGCTTGGAAAGTACCAAGTTTATTTATTTTGAAAGAATAACCATGTCACAATCAGCCTGCCTTCCAAAGGTGGCACTCCGCAGGGAGGATCTGCAGGGGCACTCAGGGCTGGTTTGGGAGGACTCTGTGGCTGGAATGAAAAAATGGAACCTGAGCTAGTGGAACCCTTCATAAGAAGAGGCCAAAAATTATATACCTGTACACCAATACAGTCAGACACGATTTTTATTTTGCATATGGGAGACACATAATGTTGCTTTTGTATATTCCCTCTGTATCTCCTTACAAGGGATATAGGGAAGAAAGCAAAGTCAGATACTAACTCTCACATAAGCAATTAAAGCAATTAAATGAAAATAAAAAGCAATTAAAATAAATCTGTATTTGAAAAAGTAACTTGGAGATTAATTCAAAGGCCACCACATAAGTTGTACACAAAGCTGTACCTGAAGATCAGGGAAATGAACTAGTCCACTTCCTTAGTAAAAACACGTCTAAATACGTAGCACGGAAAATTCCAGATGCAAGACCAATTCGTCATTCACACGCTATTTTTTAAGCTGTGGAACGATTCATGCGGGCCACAATTTAAGGGATAAATAAAATTTAGGTCCCCTGTAACCCACACTATCTGCTTGCCCTGGGTGCATATAGACTCACAATACACCTCTGTAAAAACACAAACACACCATAAAACGTTATAACAACAGATACCACAGCACTCCCCACGCCCCGCTCCCTCCGCGCCCCGGCACGGGCGCCGCTCCCACCTCCAGGCTGCGCTGCAGGAGCGCGGCATTGTGCGCTGTCCTGGCGGCGCGGTACTCCGTGGCTGCGAGGAGCAGGGCCTTCATGCAGCTCGGGGGGTCCATGGCGGCCCGGCCCCTCAGACTCCCCACCCGGCCCTCACTCGCATTTCCCGCCGCCGCCGCCATCGTGACGCAGCGACCACTGAGCGCGAGCGGCCGCCGCGCGGCAGCACGGGAGACGTCGCCGCCGCCGCCATCTTGCTTAAGGGAGGCTTGGGGCGGGTGGCGAGAGCCGGGGGAGGAGCCGCGGGATCCGGGGAATGCGGGCGCTTGCACCGGTGATAGCGGCTTTAGGGCTCACGTGCCGTCGGGGCGACCCAGAGAGATGTTTTTCCTAAGCGGAGCTCTGTATGGTCGGGGGGAGCTGAGTCTTCCAGCCGCCCAGCCTCTGGAGGGCCGCCTCCGATTGAAGGCATCTTCCCACCTGGCGCCCGCGACCCTGCCTCGCCTTCCTGTTGTCTTTCTAGTACCCATGATCCTTTCCTCTCCTATTCGGGAGGGCTTAAGCCTGGCCAGAAGCCAGCCTGCCTCTCCCGCGAGAGAGGCCAGGGAACCACAGGTGGGAGGGGGAAGTTTTAGCAGTGTCCTGGCGATGGTGGGGACCGAACCCGGGGCCCCGCGACCCGGGCGCTCGTCCCCCTCACACAGCGACTCCCGCAGGCCGCTGCGGGCACAGCGCCCGCTCCCGCTCCCTGCGCTGCATCAGGAATCCTTTCCTCGTACTCCTTGCAGCTGGAGTGCCCGGGGACAGCGGGGTCGTGCCCTTCTTGGACCATGTTCTTTCTTCCTTACACCATGTGCTCGAAGTTCCATTGTACAAGAGGTACAAGAGGTTCCGCGCCCCCACTACTCAACGCCCGGACATGGACAAACACCCACTCACCGACCCACCCTTTGGAAGCCGGCAGGTAGATGCTGCTGTGTGAAGCCTTTTGAACATATTTTCTCAACTCGTGCACTGATTGTTTTCTGTCATATTAGGCCTGCACATATGTGTAGGAACGTCTATATCGGCCTCTGTATTTTCCTATGTCCTTAATAGGACAAACATTGCCGTAAAGTACAGGCGAGCAATGTGAATGTAAGGTAAATGTCATTGTCTCTTTTTCCTCTTTTAAGTCCTTGATCCTTCTTGTGTCCCCTTTCACATGATTGCTGCAAGGGCACGCTGGGGAAGTGACTGGAGTGTGGGCCTGAAGTCACCCTCAGTCCTGGATTCTGCACCAGGAGCTGCAGCCACCAGGACTGGTGGTGTAAGTCTGAGTCCAAAGCACGCTGACAAGTGCCACCTGAAAGGCACCACGGCCAGGCCCTTGTCCTCTGTTCAGCCATCAGTCACTCAGTAGGCACCATGAGGCACAGGCTGGGATTCTGTGTCGCTCGGCCTTTTCCCAAGGCTGAACATCAGTGTCACTGAGTGAGCACCTGGGGGACTGCTGAGACTGTCATTTCAGAAAAACTACAGTGCTGTGCTTTGTTGAGGACCGTGCTGCTGGACGTGGGGTGTCTCAGCACAACAGCTCCTCAGTCTGCTCCCTGTGATAACCAGCTATCAGACAGGCTGCAGGATTCTGCATGTGAAGAGACACATTAGTTATGTGCTTCTACAGAGCAAGGGCTCTGTCTATGTCCCTATTTATGTCCCATAGTACGTTTTTCATGGATGATTACTTTCTTTTCAATTAATGAAGTTTTGGACATATCTTTTAGTATTTCTTGGCATTTCTAGGGTTAGTTAATAGTCTATTTTTTTTTTGTCTCTTTCATGCTACGGTTGTACTGTACAGTATGTACTGTACTACGTAGTAGTTGAGCCTGGAGCCAAAAACTGCAGCACTGTTAAATTCATAATGAAGTCTAAAGTTCTGAAAGGTCTAAAATTCGTTTGACAAATAATGGTGTGAGAGAAACATAATAGAAAAAAAATCTAACTTGTATTACCCATAAAAATACATAAATAATTTGTGAAGGGTCTTAAACATACAACAAATACAAATGTCTTCCTCACAGTCTCAAATGGTGAGCAAGTCTGTAGTAGTGACTGGAAGGCTCAGGACATACATTCCAGTTTTGGCTGTGGCTGCTAGTTGCAGGTCACCTTCAGAACTATTTATTAACTATTTAAAATTGGGGTTAATATTAAAGCAAATTTTTGCATTAAAAACAAGTAAACAACAAAAGACATATACATAATACAGAACTAAAAAATCAAATGGAGTAAGTATTCCCATAAGTACAGAACCTATTAAAAAAAGGATGTGTTCATGCTGACATATATGTACAACTTGTAGTCCTCTTGTAATCTGCCAGAGCCGTTCCTCAACATTAAAATGTTTTTATTATATATAATTAAATATATTTAATATTTAAAATATTAAAATAATTTTCCTCTAGTTGGTTATTTATTTTTTATGGCATGGATTTAACACAGCATTTTTGTCTTAATTTGCATTACTCAAGCTACTGACTACTAGTATTCCTTGACATTGCTGAAATATTATTCACTCCTCCAGCCTCATCAGCAACATGAATCATGTGCAAAATAACAGCGTTTGGGGGTTTTAAAGCATCTTAAAATGCTAATAGTTTTGTCATGTATGATTTTTATCAACACTTATCAGTTCTGCCATAAATTACTGCTTTATGCCTATTCATTTAATGTATTTATACTGCTGCCCTCTAGCAGAATGTACACTCTAGCAGTCAACATCTTGGACAATTTGCTGGCTAAAAACCACCAGAAGACACATACATGGACACCTTCCCCCATACCTACGTGTGTGTGTTTGTGTCTGTAACAAAAATACTTCTTTTATTGCTGAGCAAACATGCATAATAGCTTGTACTGGATCTACTGGTTGAAGATACAGCTGTTCTGGCAGTCTGCAAAAGGAGGAGGTAATTCCAGATGTAGAGCAGAGGACACCCAGCTGGAAGCTCTCCTCAGCTGAGGCCCTGTGCCGGGTCATGTCCTGGAATGGCAGCTTCCGAAACCATCAGGCGCAGATCCTTCAGGGCAGGACATCAACATAATCAGCGCTGTCATCAGCTTCTGTGAAGTAATCAAACAAAAAAAGATGTCATTGCAAGGTGCTCTTCCGAAAGGCTGTGGGTGCAGCACAGCCTGTGGCAGGGCAGGTATCAGTAACTCAGTTTGGTTTCTCAGTGTGCCATTGCAGGGCCAATGTTTAGGCCCCCTGTCCTGTGGACTGGATTCTCCAGGAAAAGGCAAAGCCTTTTCTGAGCCAGTAAGCACCGTTGTAAACAGTTGTATTCACATGATACCCCCTTCTTCCTGAGAAACAGTCAAATGTCAGAAATAATCCGTTCTTGCTAAATCAAATCAGTAGCTGAGATATCTGTGACTCTCAAAATGCATCCCTTGTACTGTAAATAAATACCCAAGAGAAAAGTTCTCATCCCAACTAAAGGAGGAGAGCCTGAAAAATCCTGTTCTCTCACTTCATAAGATTGGTTACAGTTTTTGAGAAGCCAGGAAAAAGGCAGAAATTCAGTGCTTGGAACTCAAAGCTCCACTATGGAAACCTATTGCTCTTCAAACAGCTGCCCTCAGAAAAGCTGTTCCTAAGCTAGAAAACAAAGCTCAAATATCTCCAGCCACCAGGATCATGACCTCAGTCCCTTGAGGTGTTCCACTGGTTGTGCTGCAGTGCTCAGTCCCACGTGCAGCAAAGCCAGCTGCTGGTGGCACGTGAGGGACTGCTTGCTTTAGGGAGCACTGCTGTGCTTTGGGCAGTGCCTGTGTTTCGGAGAGCAGGACATATACACAAGCCCCTGCTGTGGACATGTAATAATGCAGCCTGAGAGGGAAGTTTGGAATGCTGTATAAGTGAAATTTAAATCAAAATTTAATAAAAAACAATTCCAAAGTAGCTTGATTATTTCTAAAAAGCCTCCATATTTATGGAAGCCTAGCTATATTTTGACATTGAAATATAAGGGTTTATTTTCCTCCCCGTGATTCCAGATGAGGACACTGTTCATCTTCAAGAAAAATTCCTATTGCAGGACCAAAAATTTCTAAAAACATATCCATGTTACTGCAATATTTTCTGTCTCCCTGCAACAGCAATGGTAAGAAACCATAACAACATTTTTAGAGCAAATGTGGCATATTTGCTGTGTGATACAGGTGACAAGGTAATGTTGATGACATGGGAAATATGTCTCTGTGGCTTCCCCTTAGCAAGGTTGCTGGGGATCAGGCCCCAAAATTGCTGGGGGAGCTTGGCCAGAACAGCTGCACTGCTCTTGTGTGTGAAACCTCAGCACAGAGGGGCTGTCTGTCAGAGTCTGAAATAGTTCATGCCTCAAACTTTGATATAAAGTTCTGCTCATTATAACAAAAACTGCATAAAGAAGTTACAACCAAAGAAGCCTCCCTGAAGTTACCCAAACTACTGAGATTAGATAAAGGAAAACCCATTCTTCAATCACCTGAAACAAACAAGTAAACAAGGAAAAGAATGTGAGCCAAACCCAGCAGCCATACTGAGAATCATCTCTGCCTTGCTTCAAGGTGGGGGAAGCCATAGCCATCAGACCCCTTTTCTGGGAGGAGGTTTGTACAGATTTCTCCCCCAGCCGAGGTGGGGGGAGGAAGTTTTGGCGTGTTGTTTGCTGCTCAGGGGCAGTGAAACCATCCTCCCTTACACAAACTGGCTATGGAACCCCCAACCTTGGGAAGGCCACATCCATGGAGCATTCACGTGAGAGGCAGCTGAGAGAGTGCCTTAATCCATCAAAGACTCCCTGAAGTGCCTCCCAGAGTCGTTCCTGAAGCCTTGCATCACAGGACTGCACGTGATGCAAAAAGCCCAGAGTCTGTTGTAAGAGACAATGGCAAACTCTCCCTGCCCCAGGGAGGTGCCTGGGTTTTCCTACCTAGCCTGAGTGTATATTAAGCCATTGGATTCTGTGCATTCTGGGGAGATCTTCACCACCAAGAAGACCAGCTGAGAGGATCAAAGGAACATTGTTGGGATTCATGGAGCGGTGATATTTTCTGTCACTCTCTTTCTGTCCTCCCCACCTCTTTCTCCTTTCTCTTCTTTATACTCTCCTTTTTCTCTCTCTCCCTCTCATATTTACTATCAAATAAAACCCAAACTATTGTCACTGGCATATGGTCTCGTTTGCACCTTAATTTGGGCAGAGGCATTTCTAATAACTTTAATAACTGGATCATAACACTGCCCCACACCACCGTGCTGAGGTGCTGTTGGGCATGAGATGCAAATCACAGGGCAGGGTGGAGACTCCAAAGTTTTGTTTGCTTTATGATATCTGTACTTAGCAAAAGGATTTCCCTTACTCCTGGCTGGGGCTCTTGGCACACTGCCAGAGGTCATGGAACAGTCTCAGGGTTATTTTGCAGCCCATGGCCTGATGGATGCTGCAGCTCAGTGTTGTACAGCAGGAACATGAAGAATGGTGTGAGGGGTACTAGCAAGTTATCAACAGTATCTGCAGTCATGCTTCTCCAAACAAGGATGTAAGGATGACATGGGGCTATACAACACAGTCTAAAGCTTTATGAGAACCTCTGTCTTTATTGTATCCATTAGCATAATTCTGTCAGGTAGAAGCATCATGCCCTCCTCCTACACCTGGGAGTTGTGAGCATAAATTAGCAGAAGAAGAGCAATGAGAGGCTGAACTCTGGTTCCAAAGCGGTGATCCTGAGCACAAGGCTATATGCTGATCCCTTAGTCATGTTTGAATACAAATCACAAGCTGGCTTGCTTGCCTGCCCATCTTAGAACTAACTGAGTAAGGTTTTGATATAAACATTTCTTAAAACCTGGACAATGAAGGTAAATGACAGCCTCAACTCCCAAGTGCAAGGGCCTGGTATCTTGGCAGAAGCACACTGAGTAAAACTGGTTCTCAGTCTTCTCCAGCCTAAAAGCATCAACATCCATGAACAAGACAGCTGGAGGCAGCTTTTTTCATCATTGTGTATCTCTAGTGATTTTAGTTTGTACATTTGTGAGGGTAAGTAACCTGTGAGCTAAGAATAACCATTTCAGTGAACATAAGAGAGAAGGGAGGATGTAAAACTTCTATCCATGCAAGACAATGTTTAGCAAGCATTCACCACAAACCTGTCAATGCTGTTATCTTTAAAAAACCCACAAAGGCAGAGCTAAGTTTCTCACCATCATAAACATTGTCCATTTCTGACTTGAACCTCTGGCTTCTTTGCAAGGCCTTCTGTTTCTTCACTGGGTAGCGGAGCTTTGTTATCAGACCTTGATTTGGCTTTTCAAAAGCATATATTAAGTCCTTTAATGTTTTGAAGGTCCTCTCTGGAACACCTTCAGAAGTCTGTAAGGAAAGGATAACAGAATGTGTTTGCAAGTTCCCTAAATGAAAAGAATGGTAAGTTGTTTCTTATTTACCAAGAAGCTGTTTTGTAAACATGTTTGATGACAGAATATTGCAGTGTCCTTAAAACACTAGGGAGACCTGTTTGGAACCATGGTTATGGCATTAAAAGTAACCTCCCTTACCATCTTTTTTTTTTCGAAAAGAGCATCAGTTAAATTATTGGTGTAGATGTGTGCTGCAGCGATCCACTACAGCAGAGTGTTGAAAATTGACAGCATTACACACTGTACTCTGGTCTGAGAGCAAAAGTTAGGGATAACATATTTAGTTCTCACTTAAAATGCTGCCTTTAAATATCTAGATGACAAACAGAACTCAAACTTTTACAAAATATCAGCATTGGGAAGCCCAGGTCATGTGCAAAAAACTGTTCTTTAAGTGTGGGTTCATCTGACAGGACTGAACTGCTCCTGCAGCTCAGCCCTGCGTGGATCTGTGCACGGACTTTACAGTGCTGTGACTTCAGGGCAGTGATAGACAGTGAGCACCCTACTAGTAGTCATTAAAAGAGAATGGAGCTTTCTTTTAATCTGCTAGCTAACAAAGAAACATGTATTTATTTTCTATAGTTTTCTGCATCCTTCATCTTTCATTCAGCCCTGGATGGACTGGGTGCCAGGCCTGTGTGTACTGGGCCTGGCTGGGATGAGTTAACTTCCTTCATAGCAGCCTACAAAGTGCTGTGCTCTGAATTTTTGACTGAAACAGTGCTGATAACACAGCCACCACGTTTTGGCTGTTACTGAACAGTGCTTGTGCAGTACTAAGGATGTCTTTCTTGCACTTGGTCCCCCTGGGGAGTAGGCTGGGAGTGTGCAAGATGCTGGCTGTCCTATCTCACCCCATCTGACACTGTACTCGGCGATAAAAGCATAGGGAAAGGGAGGACATTTGTGGTTATGTGTGTGCTGAGGCCTCACTTTCCAGGAGCTCACTAAATATCTGCCCCCTGATGGGAAGGCGTTGCTAAACTTCTTTGCTTTGCTTGTGTGCACAACTTTGCTTTACCTGTTCACCTATTACACTGTATTTTATCCAGGCCAGGAGTTTCCTCACTTTTGCTCTTTGTGTTCTCTTCCCCTAGTCCTGTCCTACTAAGGAGGGAGGGAGTGAGTAGCTGTAGGGGTGCTTAGCTGGTTGGGGCCAGCCTGCTGCACTCTAGAAAGCTCATGTCTGAATCTGGCATTAAAATAAACCCAAACAACCTCTCTTCCACATCAATACATTGTTTTAGTCAATTATCTTAGTGAGGCAAAATAACCTGATTTAAAATTTTTAAGAACTGAATTCTTCTTTCACAGTATTGGCAAAAATTTATAAGGAAGAATGGGTTTGAAAAGTCTAAAAATATCTGAGTTACCTGCTGACAAGAATGACAGCATAACCCCAGTAGAGTGGATAAGGTACAAAACAGAATATTTTTTGTCAGTAAACCATTCTTCATTATGGGAAATTGGGTCTTTCATGCACGGGCAAAACCACTAATAAGCAATAAATTACCAGCATATGAGAGCTTGGAGTGTTCTTTATGAAGTGATTTCTTCATACCACTTAAATGCTGCTTAATATTGGCAATCCTCTTGGCTGTGCTAGTACAAGCAGGGGAGTGAGCCAGCTTTTAAGTGTCCTTTCACATTTCCTGGGGATTTGGTTGATGCACTTGTTTTACTTGAATAAGCAGCATAATTTGGCATTGTCACTTCAGATGCCTCACAATCACACAGAATTATAGGTTCTTTAAATCAAAAAGATCACTACAATATCCCAGATCCTTATGAAATGCTGCATGCACTAGCAGTGCTTTCAAGTAGAAAAAGGTAATTAGGAACAGGAGAAAGTAAGAAACAGGAGAAAGTAAGAAAAGTAAGAGATATTTCATCAGTGCTATCAAAAAGAAATGGTCAAATGAGAAAACAGCTGGTTAATAGATAATAGACCCACTTAGATTATAACTAAATTCTACAAACACAAGAGCTACTTTTTGAGGTCATCTACAATAAGAATTGAGTAGAGAGCAAACTTGGAAATATTTTCTATAGTATTGTGTTTATGGATTTTTTTAATCTATGATCATAGACTAAAATGATAATAGATTAACACTATCTTAGATCATTGATCATAGATGAATCTAAGATATTTTAATTTGTGGTTTTTTTTAAATCTATGCTCCTTAATGCAATCTTTAGAGATGCAATGAGAGTTACTCACCTGTATTCTAAAATATCCTTGGTCTTCTCTGAAGATACGGTAAGTGTAGATGAGGCCCTCAAAGCTGTGAAAAAACATTGTATATGTAACACATCACATTAACAAAGTGGACATATCTGTAAACAGTATTAAAGACATGAGAAGTGCAGTAAAATTGAATGAGGCAGAGACAAGAAAGCAAAAGAGAAGAGATCTTAGAGATTACAAAATGAGTGAAGGCTTAATATCTTGAAATACAAGATTACTCTGACCAGGAGTTTCAAAGAACATATGAACTAAGCCTAACACAGGCCTTTAACAATCATAATTTCATTCCACAAACAGCACCTCTTCTCATCTCTCTCTTATCTTCCTCACTTCTCTAACCTTCATTTTGTATTTCTGTCACAGGAAGGCTGTTGAATTCTTGGAGAGATGTAGGCAGAAAATGGCCTCCAGTCACTAGCACCCAGAAAATGACAGTATGGCTCCTACTTCTGAGAATAATGTTATTCCTTTGCATTTCCCAAGGTTTTAGTCATTGTTATTTTTTATAATAAGCACGTGTTTGAACACTGAGGCTACTGATGTCTTTGGATATATTTTGTCAGCAGAAATAAAAGCTTTATCAGATACCACAGTGGCAGCAATTCAGGAGGTGGACTGGAGATCGTGACTGTGATCAAAAAAGGTAGCAGAGTTGCAAGAAAATATACATCACAATCAAGTGAGGAGGTTGGAGAGAGGTGGGAGCAGCATCTGAAAACAAGTTTTTTTAACTTGTGTGCCAGGAGGACTTCAGCTGTGGCAATGTGAAGTGAACTGTCATGAGAAGGAGAATCTTTGGGCAGAAACCTGGGTCAGGGCACTTGCACAAAAGTGAAGGGTTACTGAAAATAAACTACTTTGTTCTGCAAAAAAAGTTACTATGAACTGAAATTAGAATAAGGCTTTCAGTTATAATATGTTTAATTTAATTCAAAAAGTGTTATCACAGGGATGCATATTTTGTTTTTTGTCTTCTGGAGATACCTGTGGAAATATACATGTTCCTTGCTGAAAAGTACTTTTACAAATGTGAGTGTTTACAGAGACAGAGAAGTGAGAAAAAGAAATACCAGGAACTGATCATTTTTGAAACTTGTTCTTTACTGATCAACTAAATATTGAAACATTTCTGCCTGGATATTATTCAGATACTTTAATTCTTACTAAATGAACATGAAACTACCACTAAAATGGAAACTTCTGTCTCCTCATTAACTACTAAATGCTTACCAAGAGCAAGTAAAGGGTAAAAATAAACAAAATGTTTGGTCTGGTAGAAAAGTGAGGTGAGAGGGAAAATGGCATGTTGAATAGTAAGGAGAACAGTAGCAAAACCAGTAGGTCTGAACTGAAGTGCTGTCAGAGACCTGGGATAATTCTAGATTAAATACACAGTGTGCTGTGGAGGAAGAGCCATGCACCTTGCCCAGTTAGAGAGATGAATTTGAACCGGTCACACCATTCTGCCTCCCAGGTCCTCCACGGGAATGCAGTCCCCCCCATATCCCAGCAGAAAAGGACAAGAAAGTTTGTTTGCTGTAGCAAGTGGATCAATGTATCTGCCCACAGATCAGGTAATTTGAGAAGGGCTTATCTTGTTAGGTGCTAAACAAGGTGTTGAGATGCAATGCTAATTCAAAAGTTGCTTTTGAACATCACTAAGAGTTTCAGCGTTGGTTGCCCCCAGTTTTAGGGCAGTTTGCCTAGTGAACCACTGCCAGGCAGCCCAGTTTCTGGGGCAGTTCTCAGCCAGTGCACTAATACTATTCCATGTGCTGTCTGAACAGGAGCCTTGCTCTGACCTGTGCAAGACACCATCTGTGTACCACTGCTGCCGCTCTCGCAGTTTAACTATGGCATTTGTTCATGTCAGGATTATAGGCAAATCCACTAAACACTTCAGTTTTTATCAGCTTTTAACACTAAAACCCACAAAAGCAAATTGGAAGGCATGATTTTTCATGTGCCTGCACAGAATATTGTGGCAGGCAGATGTGACAGGCCGAAGTGTGTCTGCAAGACATCACAAGAAAAATCTGCTTTGCCCTTAAAAAACAAAAAGATTAAAGGAAAAGCAACTGTGTTGGTGTGGCCTAACCCAGGTTATAACATTGTCGTTCTTCCTCTGTGTCAGGTTCCCCATTTGTCCCTTCTGACAAGGTATACATGTGCCTTCCCTCCCACCTCCCTGCCCTCCCCTCAGCCCCTGCATCATCTCATTCCACACCATACTGAAAGCAGGTTCCTGTAACTGCCTTGCTGAGGGCTCTGTTTGTCCCCAACTTGCTATTTCTCTTCAACTCGTTCTGTTATTTTGAAGATCTGCTTGCTTCTACCTGCCAACCCAGTAGTACTCCATTTCTCTCTCTCTTTTTCTCCCCTTTCCATTGATTTGTTTCATAACAAATTCATTTTTAGTGATTGATAAAAATATCTTCTCCTATTTGTTCATTAATTAGATGTTAAAAGGTTTTCGTGTCACATTCAAACGTATCTGCAGCAAGAGTGCAAAACCTCATAGGTTCAAACAAAGACCTAGATTCTAGTTTTTAAACTTTGAATGCATTATGAACAGATCAATTATATATGAAAAGAGTAAAAAGGGAAATAAAAGTGCTATTCCCCACAGAAAAAGAAAATAATAAAATTTTAATTGTAGTAATTAAAGCTTTGGACTAGAAATAGCAGTTTTCTATGCCCATCTTGTCTGTGGATTTGTCATATAAATTCAGACAGAACTTTGTAATTTTCAGCCTCAGCCTATGTTCTTACATCAGGTAAAATTCCTTTGAAACACAAGACTGAGTTTTTATCAGACAGAAAGTCTACAAAGAAGGAAGTGTTTTTTAACATGCTGTGAGACTTTTTAGTGTCTCAACAGTGCCAAAATGCTGTTTACTCATCATTACAGAGGCAGTTACTTTGAGTAAGGATCTTAGCATATTTTGGCAGGCTGAGTTATTTTCTCTGGGCTGCCCTTACTCTCTGGAGAGAGAGACCAGCATCACCAGAATGTAGTTCATTTATCATCTGTTACATAAAATAGCTTTTTGGAAATGCTACCCCCCCATTTGTCACTATAAAGGAAACCTAAAGCAAGCAGCACTACTTGAATACATAGGCACGCTCCCTTGGAGTCTGTTAATATCAGGGAAGAACTATTAATTTTAGAGAAGATGATTGTTGTCTTTGGATCCAACTGAAAGCTCATAAAAAATCAGTATTAGATTAGAGTACTTACAAAACACAGAGACACAAGGCTCCTTCCACACTCTCACTCTCCCGTATTAAATAGCTGCCATTCTTTTTCTTCTTGCTCAGCAACTCTTCACAGGTTCTTCTTGTTATCTTTCCATGAAAAAATGGGAATTCCATGGAGCAAAGAAAACAATGTGTCTTGCCTTTCAAAGCAATTCTAGAGCAAGTCAGAAGCCTAGCATGAGAAGAAACCTTATTCCAAAGGCAGCTTCCTGTGGATGTCTGAAGTTGGAGGTGCCAAGGACACACAGGAGTTCATGTGTGGTGTTTACTGAACTGTCCCCAGTGAGGTGGGTTAGCTCTGCAGCTTGACAGCTCATGAGCTCTGTGGAGGCAGGAAAAGGTTGGTCTACACTGGTCACAGTCCACATCAAAAAATAAGACACTTTTGTCACATTATACCAGCAGATTTTGGGTTATGTATCACACCTCTAGACTATGAAATACTAAGTTGACACTGAGGTATAGTTACATTTTTAAGTTAACTTTTATGTTTAAAGTGGCTCAAAGCCCAGCAAATAGGGTCCTAAGCTTCAGGAATAAGTCAGGACTGTATAGGAGGATAAAATTATGTAAAAGCACTCTTGTCTTTTTTTCAGGTGATTTTGAGAAGGGAAAATAAGTATTTGTGATATTTTAATCAGCATCAGTCATGAAGCCATAGGATGTGCCAGAAAAAAATTGGCAATTCTCTGTTCATGCAGAGGTTTAAACAAATTTCATCAAAATCAGCTGTAGAAGGACACAAGGTGTTTAATGGAGGAACAGTGTAATATGCAGGGACTGCTGTCATCTTGATCACAGTGAAAAAAAACTGTGAAAAAAACAAGGTAAATACTGGTGGGACACTGTAAGGAAAATCAACCATGTTTTACATGCAGCTGTTACATTTGTGTTTTTTCTCTGACAACTTTGTACACACAAAAATCTTATATTAACATTTGTGTGTTTAACTGCAAGTTGATCATGCATCACACTAAGACCATTTCCAGATGGTATCTTAGTTATTTCAGGAATAAAGTACCTCTAAAAAGGTACTGTTTTGTCTCAAAGAAATGTAGAAACCTAAGGAAAAAAGATATCCCAAGAGAGAAACTGAGAAATGGCAAGTCCAAGGTGATGCTGTTGCTGAGGTCTGTCCTGCAGTGACCACAAGTTACTGATAAAACAAGTCCTGATCACCAAGGGGATGAACTTGTTTATGTAGTTAGATCCTCCAGTTTCAGCTGTCTGCAGACAGCTGCATTTGGAATAATTTTATCCTCCAATGGGATGGGGATAGTGGTATTGGGAGGGAAATATCCCAGTCTTCTAAGCATCCTTAAGAACAAACATCCTTATGTGACAAAGATTCTCCTTCTTATCAAATGCATTTGTATTTTCCTCAGGTTAAAACTGTTTGTGGCCTTTTTTTCTACACATTGTATAAATAAACATTTTCCATGAGGTATTGTGAGGTGAATGGCTTTTCCAGAAGCCCAGCTTTGCAAATGAAGAGCAGCAACTGCTCAGCACTGTCCTGCTTCAGGCAGGTACTCTGCTTGCATTGAAAGGAAGGTAGATAGGAAACAACTGCAAATTCCTCTTTCTTCACAATTTTCCCTGAAGGTCTCATTACCTAGGTGCAAAAATACAAGACAGTAGTTTCGGTAGATCTTGCAGCTCTGAATGTAGAATTTACCTAAAGTGAAACAGCAACCACATGCTACCTGCTGTCGGCTTAGCAGAGTGTTTGTCTGATTTAAAAAATCCTAAGGAGGAGAAAGTGCTTGAGGAGAAATGGGGCTGGGGTCTCCTTCCAGCAGTAGTGGCCACCTACTGGCCCAATCACCTTCCTCCTCAGTCAGTCTCCACAGCTCCCTGAGAGCATTCAGGAATTAACATTTTCCTTTTACCTCACCTCACCTGTCTGCAATACTCAAATGGACCTGAGAATAGGATTGAATACTTGATTTAAAAGCAGAAATCATTGAAATGCACTAGAGAAAGAGCTCTGGGAGGGAAAAAGGAGAGAGACTGTAAATATGGTCTGGTCAGTCACTAAATACATGCGACTAAATATATGTCACTAAAATATATGTGTGGGTGTGGGGTTGTGGTGTGTTTGAGGGCTAATCCAGAGCAAAACCACACAAATATACAACAAATATACAACAAATATAAAACAAATATACAACAAATATACAACAGGACTTGCAGATCCCAGCCTGGGACACGTGTTGATGGATGCTGTGTAACAACTGGCAGGTGGGGGATTTCCTGGTCAGTCACCACAGAGCTGCGCCATGAGCCTCACCACAACTTGTACGACACAGCACTGAACCTTTACAGTGCATGTAGGGGTCACATAACAGTATATTTCCATGGGCCTAATGTAACCTAATGTAAACTCTGAGCAAACATTTCCTAATGCAAACATTTCCAGCTTAACACATCTTGCAAGTATTTTTGGCTTACACAAACCTGCATACCCAGGCTGCCTCCTCAGCCAAGTCTGAAGTGTGGTAAGAAATATGACCTGATGATCTTAAGTCTGATTAAATGTATGATAAGAGACTTGGGGAGCTGAAATGGCAGTGATGCCCCAAGGCAGTGGGGCTTGGGTGACGGAGGCAATTGCACCAGGCTGAGCCTCTGGGAATCTTAGCTACACCAAACCAAGCAATAGCTCTCGGTAATCTGTGCTGAAAGTTATTTTACTCCATTCCAAAATAAATTTTTTTTTTTTTATTTCTCATTCACTTAAGGAGATTTCACAGTTCCTAGGATAGCCTCTTGCAGTGACTATCCTTTCAGATGGCAGAGAACAGGGGGAAAACAAAGTTCTTTTTCTGAGAGTCTGTCTCTTGGCCTGCTTCTACCATAGCATGGGAAAGAAACAGAGTTTCACTTCCTAAAAATCTTCTGTATATCAAAACAAGCACATCCTTCAGTCAATCTTGCACTTTCTGAAGTTATTGCAATCACTTCTGAAGGAAGTCTTTTTCCATAAGCCGCCTTTTCTTGCGATTGTTCTCTTTACTTTTCTCTGGCACCACTTTGGCTACTACTTCTATAAAATTTGATGCCTATAAATAAGTCTTTTGATTAGAATAGCAAGATAGTTAGCCACTCTTCCCTTCACAAATAGGTGCTAGAGAAACAAGACATGCAACATTTTGGCAGCAGTGCCAAGCCTTTGTTGACCGTTTAGATCATTGGTTTTCTGCCATTCAGCTGCCTGGACTAATTTTCTTTTTTTTTCCTCCTGTTATTGTAAAACATAGCAAGGCTATTTCATAGTGACCCCTCATATTGACAAGCACAGTTGGAGCTCGGGTTCTGCAGTGTCCCCTGGCTGCAGCTCCAGCACAGGAAAGTTCTTGACAGTGTCTTCTGTAAGAACAGGAAATCTGGGGAGAAGCTAGGCTGCGTGACAGCAGTGAGGGTGAGACCTTCAGCGAATCATCAGGCACAGTGTGGGATATCGGGGCTAAATAAAAGCTGTGGTCAAAAGCAAAACTAGTGTGCTTAAACTGTTGTGAGTAAAGCAGGGAGCTGAAGGTCATTTGTTATCTAGCCAGAAAGAAAAAAGCAGGCACAACATAAGAAAACTGAAAGTAAGTTGAGTTCTAGCTAAATCTCCTGAAATATGAGCTCTTGTTGATTTGGGTCTCTGGGCAGTCCCAGTCCTGTGGCTTACTCTATGAACAGAACCAATAATGTTTTTGCAAGAAGAACTGTTACAGAAAAAAATTACATTTAATTTCAATTTACAGCTTTAGCATGATATCTACACCAGGCTGTAATTTTGCAATTTACTGTGCCTGGACACAAAGGGATTTTTTAGTAGTATCTGTTGATGGCAAGATTTACTTGATACTGAAAGAAAAATCACTATGATGTAAATTTAAGAAGAAAATTGAACTGTTGTGTCTGTTACTTAGAGATTGCTGCTACAGCTGTCTGTGGAGCCCCAAGGCATCAGAGCTCTCCCATTAGCTTTCTAACAAAATATAAACCTAGGAGGGAAAACCTGTTTTATAACTCAACATACTGCCCATTTTTTAAAATGCAAGTAAAGAGAAAATGGTACTTCAGAATGAAGGTGGTAGTCCAAAATGAATTGAGAATGATAGTTCAAACTTGTCTGTGCTAAAATTTGAATTAAAAAGTTACAGAGCCAAACAATTAAAAAAGGTTTATAAGACACATGAATATATGTAAGTAGTGGGTTTTGGTCTTAAAAATTATCTAGAATGTTGCTTAAATGTTTATTTAAAGGATAGAGTCATAAAACAATAATTTCCTTCTCACTGGCAACCACATTGTCAGGGTTCAGAGTGATCCATATTCAATTACTCCCTGAGATTATAATAGCTGCAATGTTTGTATTTAAGTGGCAGTTACCTCAGAGTTACCCTCTGAGGCAGGGTAACTGAGGCTCTTGTTAATAGATCCTTTGGAGCAAATTAGAGTGAAACAATACTGAATGTCCAGTTTATATATGAGGCATACTTATTTTAAAACAATTTAATTGCAGCAGAAAGAAGGAATGTAGCCGTTTTAGTTCTTTTCTACAAAAATATAAAAAAAAATCCTGAAAATTCAGCTTCTAAGACATCATTCATTGGTCTCAAATATCACATAAATCAATTAATGAAATGCAGTAAGAAGTTAGCTCACATCATAATGCCCCCAAAGTACTGCCTTCCTGTAAAGAAATGTGCAAATAAAGCTGTAGGAAGTGACAAACCTCACTTACACATAATCACATTTCTGTACTTCCTCTACATACTCCATCACATATAACTGCACTATAAACGTTTGAGCTTTTGTCTTAATATTTGACAAGACTCCATCCAGGGTGTTTATCTGTCCTTCACATCTAGAGTCATATTAACAGTGCCATCATTTTTACCTTGTGAATTTTCTCTTATTAGTAGCTCTTTTTGCCATTACTAATATTTTCCTAGTCACTAATTTACAGTGTCCTGTCAGAATGCTGTGTACATTACAACTACAGCTTGCCACCTTGGAACAGTGCCATCTTTGCATAGTATTGAAAATAACACTTATTTCCCACCCCACCCACCCTCCCCATCCCCCATAGCAGTTAGGCACTGAATAATGTAAAGAAAAGCAGGATGACAACATACAAACTTAAGAGGGCTCTTGCATTGTTTTCTAAACCACTGGGGTGCCAGCATTTAACTTTTATCCCACAACTACCAAACTTCCTTCACATAATCCTCTTCCTTTCCTGATGGTCTGGGCAGCACTACAGAGAGGTGATCAGAGAACCAGGCTCTCCAAGAAAGTGCAGTCCATGCACAGGACAAAATGATGGTCCCAGCTCTCAGGAGTTTACAAAACAAGTTCACACAAGGCTTGGATTCATATCTTGGGCAAGACAGGCATGAATACCCATACAGAAGCTTATGCTTTAGAATACTTTAGAAAGTATCAACTTTTTAGATACTTTAGAAAGTATCAACTTTCTAAAGCTAAAGGCTAAAACACAAATAGGAGTTTAAGTCACAGACTTAAAAATATGGGGTCAAAAGAATAGGCCAGGAGAACTGATTAAAGCTGAATTTATGGAGCATGTCAAAAGCAAAGAAAGCACTAAGGCTGCCTATCTGGGTTAAGCCAAAAGCCATCATCCCACTTCCAAAAATGGTTACTAGTGGGTATGTAGAAAAAGAAACAGTAAGATACACCTTTTTTGTACAAAGGTGAGTACAGTTCTTGTACATAAGAGGATAAATACTGTGAAAGGACAGCCAGGTTAGAACCTTATCTGTAAAAATCAG